ACATTTTTATTCAGAAAAAAAAAATTATATATATCCTGAAAGAAGCCTTCTCTATGCTTCTTTTTAGATCTGTACACCAGCAACATGGCTTCTGCTGTGGTAACTTGGACCAACCCTCTTTGTTAGTGAAAATCCCACAGACTCCTCATAATCCATTTAAACCTCCTGAGATGTAGACTAACATTCTGGTTACCCCACAAATGTTTTCCTTACATGTGATCCCCATGTTCTAGGAATGCGAATAATACTCTTGCTCATTCAGCTTTTGTAGAGTTCATAATATAAAATTTATTTCTAAATCTTTAAGTCAGGGATCTGCTGTAAAGTTATACTTTATTAGTTTAACTATCCTATTGTTTTAGAATATTTAGTATTCAACTAAAGAACGGTGCTACAAATATATGACAAATCCTTATAATGTACTTGAGGCTGATTTGTTTGCAATCTTTGCTTGCATTATATCTGCATGTTTGGGTCTAGACTTCAATATAGAATTTTATTTCCCATGGTTTCCAACAGAAAATATTATTAATTGTGTGATACATTTTCATGTGTCTTGCAAATGACTTAGACATGTTCAGAAAAAAACATTCTGTTTTTGCAACAAAGGTTTCAAGTATTTTTCACTGTGTCTTCAGTATTTCCTGAAAATCCTGAATAAGATCTAAAGCAAATTAATATTTTGTGGCTTTAGCATAATCTCACATTACAAAATAGGAAGTACATTAACCTTTTAACAAAAGGGTCAAGGGTCAACCAAGACTGTTGATTGTTGTTTTAATCACCTTTAACATTTTAGGAAAGCCTTTAGTTTGAGTATATATATATATATATATATATATATATATATATATATATATATATATATATATGTACTGTACTCTTCCTCACCCACCGCGGACGGTCTCCCTTTTTTCCTCCAAGCTCTGGTTCTCTACTAGAGGCCCGGGAGGTGGAGAGTTCTGCGCAGTATCTTTGCTGTTCTTAGAACTGCACGGGATGTCTGATGTATTTCCAGGGATCTGCTGTAACCACTCCTCCAGTTTGGGGGTCACTGCCCTGAGTGCCCCAATGACCATGGGCACCACTGATGCCTTGACCCTCCAGGTTTTGTCCAGCTCTTCTCTGAGCCCCTGGTATTTCTGTAGTTTCTCATGTTCTTTTTTCCTGATGTTGCAGTCATTTGGTATCGCTATGTCAACCACAACGGCTTTCCTCTGCTTTTTGTCCACCACCATAATGTCCGGGTGGTTTGCCATAACCATTTGGTTCGTCTGTATCTGGAAGCCCCACAGGATCTTGGCTCAGTCATTCTCTATCATCTTTGGAGGTGTTTCCCACTTTAACCTTGGGGTTTCTAGCCC